TATTTATTGAATAAGAATACGGATGTAATACAAATAAAAAGTAATCCCAAGCAAACACTGTTCGCTCGTTTTAGTCGAAATTTTCACATATCTCCGTTATTTATGGACCGATTTTTCTGTGTTCTCCGCATTCAGTTACGCTGCGATCGAAAATAAGTATTCCAACATAAAACAGAAACGTAAGAAAAAGAGGAAGCAATTCCATTATATTCCAATGCTTTACGATTGTGTATATTCTGCATTCTTTCTGAATTGTTATTATAGTGAGCTTCAAATAGAAATGTAAAATACCAAAGTTGTCAACGGAGAAACTTTCGATTCGAATTGAAATGCAGTATAGAGGTTATAATTATTAAAGATTTGGAGCCCAAATTTATCTGGGGTCTTCTGAAAATTGATTTCAATAGACATACAGACAGACAAACATAACTAAATCGAATCCGAAATCTATAAGGATCCAGAATATTTAAACTTTATAGGGTCATAAAATTATATTGTGGAAATTACAAACGGAATGACAAACTTATATATACCATTCTCAGGAAGGTGATAAAACTGAGATTTTTGTGATACAAGAACATTTAACATATTTATGAGCTGGGGGGTTCTACATCAATGTTCAGGCCTAAAAATTGGACTACTTCAACTGGATGAGTCCATAAATCCATTGGACAGAGTGAAGTAGGGTTGGATAAGGATTTGTTGGGTGTCATCAGGACCCTGACCACATGCATTACATTCGTTGGGGACGGCACGGTCTATACGTGACCAGTAGTCTGTTGCTCCATCCCAATCTTAGTTGTGCCAAAACTACTCTTGTTTTCTGCGGCAGGTTTTCTTCCGCGTCTGCTATGGGCGGTGGGCGACTTCTAAGTCCGACATTCATGCGGTATCCTGCGACCGCGAAATTTATGGCGTCTCTATGAATTCCGTTCAAAGCTGCCGTATACGAGGACTGATCTAGTGGATCCTGCACATATCTGCATATATTTTCCTCGTATATACGAAGATCCTTCCTGACATGCCTCGGGGGAGTATCCAAATATGTGATGTTAAAGTTGGGTTGACTCCTCCGATGTTCCATGACTGGGAGGGCCATCGTTTCCTCGTACAGGTGATGTTCCGAGGTAATTTGTAGGCAGCCCATTACAGTTTTTAGGGCTGCATTTTGGCAGTTTTGAATGTGTCTCCACTGGATATCACTGAGCCGACCAATCATTTTATGTGTTGCTAAAAAGGTTTCTTTATCCATACCCCAAGTGCAGCCGGCTAGCGCTTTGAGAGCCTTGTTTCTACTTCGCAGTTTGTGCGTGATTACAGTGGCGTGAGCTGAGGAAATAGATAGGCTATCAAATGTGACCCCCAAGATTTTTGGATGGTGCACGGTCGGAATTTGAACTTCATCGACTACGATGCCAAGGGTTAGATTTACTTCCTTCGTCCAGGTGTTAAAAAGTTGGTTGACGACTTTGCTGGTGATAATTGCAGGTTACGCGCAGGGAAGAACTGATGTATTTCGTGGAGATAACTATTCACCAGAACCATGATTGTACAGTCGTCCGCATATGAAATCACGTCCATGGCTTGTGGAGGTGCGGGGAGCTTAGAGAGGTAGAAGTTAAACAAAAGTGGCGAGGTACGCCTTGTTTAACTCTACGGGGTTTGGAGCCTCTGTATCTAAACTCTACGAACGACTGACAGCCAATCAGATAATTTACGATCCATCTCTTCGTGTTGTTGGGCATTGTGGATTGCAGGATATTCTCGAAGAGTGTGGCGTGACTGACAGTGTCGAAGGCTTTCGACAGGTCAAGAGCCACTAGGACCGTCCTTTCACAGGGCCTCGGCTGATTCCGTCAGAGCCAATCGCCTTAGATGGTTTGGCGTTTTTGATGACGTCTGCAACTTCAGCTTGGGTGAAGGGCTGTGGTATGTCCGTGACTCGAAGGTTGTGAAATTTGCGAACAACGTTTCGCCTTGTCTCTCTCTGGGTCAGAAATGGGGATGCTTGCAAACTTAATCGCGACCCTGTCATCCTTCTTCGTCGGGTTGGAGAGAGATCGAACTGTAGATCACAACTTACTAACACCCCAACTCAAGTTGCAGTTTTTCAAGTGATCTAGCCTTATCCTCATTTATCGGATGACATCTCTTTCATCTGCAAGCCTGGCTGCTTTTGCTTGGAAGTGCGGCCGCACTACGGATATTCGACCAGCTGGTATAAACCGAGCTGCTGCTGAGATGACGGTTTCGCGGAACTTCCTCTCTGCATGGTGGACGTTGGAGGGAAAATTTAGATACCTTGAACTTCAAGGTATTGTTCTTTAGTTAGAATCGAGAGAAAGAGCTCGCGTAGGAAAGTGACGATGACGCTGATCAATCTCGCCGTTGTTGTAAGCAGCGACGACATTTTCCGACCACTCTCGATAATGGTTTAATCCGGAGCAGTTCCTGAGATGACACCAGCCCAAAGAAGAGTTACACCTTAATTGGGTGGACATATGGTGCAGTCGGTTCTAGCAAACAGTTCAGAACCATGGTCCGGGATTTAATTCCGGCACGGACCAAAAGGATGCGGAGAAGCAATTCCGGAAGATGTTGCTCCGTTGGAGAAAAGTGTATTGTTGTTGCTGGGGTTAACAGCCCTTGGCCGAACAATTCTAGTCATTCCGGTACGTAGAACCGGCTGTCGGGGAATGGTTGTATGGGGACTATGCGAAATAATGGACCAATTTTAACCATTTTCAATAAGCTTTGTGCTTGCGTCAAAAGAAGAGTATATGCCAAATTTCATCAATTATTTTGAAAATGGCGACCTGTAAAATGGAACGGCTCAAGACATATATAATTGAGTAAGCTGGAGTTAACGACAGACGGTAATAAGGCGGAATTGAAAAAGAGACTGATAAATTAATTTAAGCGACGTGACATTGACATCGGTAATTATGAATTTGTGTAAAAAAGTGAGGAAAAAAGTAGTAGAATATTCACCACAAATAACATACTTGAAGTATTTCCAATTCAGTTGAAAAAAAATTAGCGTGTCATTGGAGGGATGTTGTTAACTTTTGACTACATCTATTCTATTTTTAGAAGCAGTAAAAATTTGATATTTGGATGTCCAAATAAACCACATTCTTTCAATGACATGCTTATATAAATTTCATTGGTTTTTCACCAAAGTTTGATGTATGTACTTCGAATATGTCATTTGTAGTGACTTTTCTACATCTCTTTCCTCACTTTTAACTGGGTTTTCATTTGTAAGGAAACATTTGGTTTATAAAAGCGAAAAATATGTCGTTTGTAAAGTATGACAGCAATTATTTTTTGCTGTGTATGTCTGTATGTATTTATGTATGTATGTATGTATGTATGCATGTATGTATGTATGTACCTGTCCAGCGAACAATGTGGACTTAATTATGTACAATGTTTGCCGCTATAATGGAGAAAATTCCAGTAGTTCATGAAACTTGCCTCAGCAAACAACGAGGAACCTGTAAAGCTAACGACGAAAAATGAGCGGTTATCAATAACATAGTGAAAGATATTGACAAAATTCTCGGACTTCGAATACTCTACAATGTCAAGAAGGAGGTGTACAAATTATTCTAGAAACGTTTAGTAGAATAAAGGCCCCTGAAGCACTACACTACTTAATGTTTTCAAGTTCCAGTTTTGAAACAGTTACCACTAGAAACTTGTGGACCAACTAAGAAAAAGCTATAGAGCTGATTTTGGTCTTAAAAGGAAATGTTGCAGTAGTTCTTGAAAGCAGGCAGAGGCACTAAAACTTAAGTATGGTGGCGAACATAAAAAGGAATCATACCAAGCGGTATTATGTGGCCAATGTGAATCTACAAAGATTTTTCATAGGAAATCGAGCGAAGCTGTTGCTTAATTATACAGGAGAACATCATCCGATTTTGGACCATTTCAAGATATAAGCATTGGTAAATGACTTGCGCGATCCTGAAATAAAACATGCAATTTGTGTCACACCAAAGTAATAATTTCAAAGGTAATGTGTGAAATGTCGAGGTTGTCGCTGAAAATGAGAGAAATATAGTCACTGAATTAAAGAAACTAAAGGAGGCAGTTTTAGAGGCTTTATATTAGAAAAAAATAAAGGCAAATCCAAATGTTATAACTGCGGTACGGAACGAATTAAATCTGTTTGGTGCAGACTTCATGATTATACATGGCATTAAATGACATAAGCGACCAAAAGTTATGATTTGGCGTAAAAAAAGTTAATTGCCTCCCCAGTCAGAGCCAATTAATTCAGTCAGTTGAATTCAGTGTAAAAAAGTGTGCTTTGTATCAGAAAAAACTTGAATATTTTGGGTGTCGCGTAAAAGCAGATGTAATATCAACAGATGAACAGAAAATAATATGTAAAAGACTGGCCGCGCCAGAAAAACCTCCACGAATCGTGAAGTCTTCATTCATGGCTTTGGAAGTTCTATATTTATTTACCATCTTATTTAATACACCCCGTCTATTATATAATTAAAAATATTTATATTTATTGGTTTTTAGCATCTTTTAGGTCTTATATTCTTTATTACTAATAAAATAATAGGTTTTCTAAAATTTAGGACTTATAGATTACAATTGTATTTTCAGCTTCTTTTGTTTACAATTAATTTAATTTAGTTAACGTTATACATGATTTTACATTTTTAAATATTTTGATTATGAAAATTTTTAATAAAACAAACATTAAATTATCGCTATTTTCTATAATTAAATAGGCAACAAATTTAAAGTATATTCATAATTAAGTACAAGGCCAATTAAAACAAAATTTTATATGTGACATGCATTTTGCATTTTTTCTTGGTATTTTTAGTTTGAGTACAAAATGTAATATAAGCAATATAAGATTTTGCAAAATAAAAAACTTTATATAATTATTTAAAGCTGGTCCACATATGCAGTACATATTAATTTAGTATTACAAATATATAAATTTATGAAATAAAATTACACAATTCAAAAAGAGAGATTTCTAAACTAGTCCAATTTATTATCATCATTATTATTCATATATGTATATGTATATTTTTGTAGAAAGTAGTAAGTAAATATTGACATGAACCAAAAATAATTCAATTTGCAAAACCACAATGTTAAAACTGAGAATATACTAATAATGTACGTACGCCTTAAACTTGGTTCATGTCAAGTTCATTGAAAAGTCTTATAAAATAGAAAGTTTTTAAAGTTTTAGTTTTAGGTAAATTTAAACTAACCCTTGGCATGACCATTCAGAACCAATTGTTTATTCGAAACTCCATTTGCTTGTTTTGCTTTGTAGCCGGAACATTCCTCTATAATAAAAACATAGAAAAATAATCATAATAATAGCAAGAAATATAATCTATAAATTTTGAAAATATATGGCAATGATTTTAGTTTGTTTACATTTTATAGCACAGATATTAATATCGCGTTTAAATAGCACACATTTATTATTATTTTAAATTTAATCAGTATAATTAAAAGTTTTCACAAGCTAGAGCAAGAAACAAATTTTTATATGCAGCTAATCACATACATATGAATATTTCTAACTATTTAATATTAAATAAAACTCTCAGTTACCTGCATTTTATCTATCAGTTATGTATCAACGGCAATTGTTCATCAATGACTATTTAGTATTTCCCGAGGATTTATTTATATTGTATTATTATCTGTGTCAAAATTTGTTAAATATTATAATTTAAAATTAATTTTATTATTGTTTTATAAATTGAGTTTAACATATATGCACTTTCCGTTAAAATTTAATTAACTAATGTAAAATATGGGGCCAGTTGGACGAAAGAAAGCTAGACTTCATTTTATTAAACTATTTTTGTGTAATTTCGTACGGAATCAATTCTCGGTTCGACATTTCGTACCTTTTTTGTATATCAAGCGTGTATTTTCGAAATGTTTATAAAATAATTGGAGTTTTATTTGGTCAAATTGTGAGGGTTACTAAGCCTTTTAAAATTTATATTATTTCAATCGAAGATAGGATTCTTTCACGGATTTTCAGCACTTATTTCATTTTACTAGTATTAATACCATTAAATCAATTTCTGCTTATGATTTATGGTACAGATATGCTGTGATGATAATAAATAACCAGATATTGAGAATATAGATCAATTTAAGATTAATAAATGCTTTTAAAAATTATCTTAATTTGATAAATTAAGTAAATAAATATTAATAATATTGCCGAAGTAGATTAAAAAGAGTTAAACCGTTATATTTTAAAAATATGTGTAAAGAAATGTGAAATGCAAAAATACTAATCAAATTGTAATTTTGTAGGCTCTAATTTTGCCAAAAATTATATTTATATTCCCACCAGAAACACTGGTTAAAGAAACGAACCACAGGTCCGCTGGATGCTTAGGTGTATTTCTTCGGTTTTGATGTATCTATATATGTACAGTTAATCACAAAAATAAGTATACAGAAATACTGACGATTGGTTTTATTTAAAAAAAGATATTATTTTTTCAAAAAACAAAAAAGTAACACATTTATTTATTAAAAACAATTATGATAATTATTATTCACTACTTTTTTTCTTCATATTTTGGTTCTTTGAGTTCTCATTTAAGCTGAAGTTAAAAAGGTGCAAAATTTACGTCACAAAAGTAAGTATACAGATCATTTCAGAATATATTTGGTTTAATGATATTATCAAAATTTATGAAAATTTTACTTGTATTAATATAATTACTTTTTAATAAAATATTTTTTACACAAAAACTTGGAAAAAATCTACTTTTAGTTCCGAAATCTTAAAATTTGGGCCGATTGGCTCCGGAATTAATTAGTAGAACAGTTTTTTCTCATTTCTACGATTTTTTTCCACTTTAGACCCCGGATTTTGGATCTGGTGGTCATTGAACCCTCCAAATGATGCATTGGAAATAGAATTTTTAACTTTTGAAAAGAGTTGTTATTTCGAAATTAATGTTATATGCATGGATTTAGCCATTTTGAACACAGTACGTTCTTAAAAAACCGAAATTTAACTCGGATTTCTTAAGACTTACAACATAAACTTTAAAATTTGGATAATTCTATATATTTCCTTATATTTAAACAGGTTTTCCAAATACTCCGATTTCCAAAGCATACAATAATGCTACCAATCATATCTTGATATACTCGATACAATAACCATGTTTTATGGATCGGACATTTTATTTGTTATAGCAACAAATTAAGATGTGTCCGTTTTCAAAATTGTTCAATTCGTATTCATACCACCACTTGAGCCTGATTTAATATAAAAATCTTACTATTTTGGACAATAATCAATTTCAGAACCGATATGTAGTGTAAGTTATTGACATGGTCACCATTTGACGATTATTGGTAGTATTTAGGGGGTTTAAATAGCCAGATGTTCTTAAATAGGAAAAAATGCTCCTATAAATAATATTCAAGTCAATTACCAAAAATTTCAATTTTTCGGAACTAAAAGTGAATTTTTTCCATGTTATAGTGTACAGAATATTTTATTATAAAATAATTACATTCAAACAGGTAAAATTTTCATGAATTTTGTAAATATCATTAAGCCAAATACATATTGAAATTATCTGTATACTTACTTTTGTGACGTAAATTTTGCACCTATTTAACTACACCTTAAATGAGAACTCAAGTAACCAAAATAACCCGGAAAAAAGTAGTGAATAATAATTATCATAATTGTTTTTAATAAATAAATGTGTTACTTTTTTGATTTTTGAAAAAATAATATCCTTTTTTAAATAAAACCAATTGTCAGTATTTCTGTATACTTATTTTTGAGATTAACTGTATATATATGTGTGTTAGGTTGCTGTCGTTTTTTGGCATATGTATATTTAATTACTTTATTTTAAAATTAAATAATATTAATTTGAATATGAACTTTTTATTATTAGTTTTTAAAATATTGTTTATAAAATGTTTTAATACTGTAATATATAATTCTATGAAATTACCAGTTGAAGAATTGTTACTGGCAGTGGTTCATGAAAATATCAAATACGGGAAATGACGTCCCCTAATAACGTAGAAAATACTTTTTCTGAATTTATACTATTTATCATTTTATACTATTTGTATGAATTTATTTATATATAATCATTATTGTAAAAGACAAATTTAGATTTTTTAAATGAGTTCTTGAATTAATTTCTTAATTTGATCTTAATCTTAATTTGAAGCATTTCTCTTCAAATTATTTCTGGATAAGAACAGAGGAGCTGCTAAGTTATTTTGATTGTAAATATCTAAAATTGCAGCACGTATGTTACTATCGAAATGTGGTTTGTTTTTTGTATAGTTTTTTGTATATAAAACTAATTCGTGAAGTTATAGAATATTACCGAACCTCAAGTTAGTTCACTTTTTAAAACTCAATATTAACTAGTATTTCAAAAGGACTTTCAAATATTTGTTTGGCTCTGAAAAATATGTTATAATTTATTCGTCCCTCATGCCCCTCCTTTCAAAACTTCTTTCTATTACTTATATACATATATTTAAAGAATGCATAAAACAAATTTGTAATGACAATCAATACCTTTTTTAAAATCTTAACATAACACACTAATAACTACAGTATTTTAAGTATGACGTGTGACTTTATCCTTTAAAACTATATTTTTTGGTATGTGCTTTGTAAATTTTGTTTTTTATAGTTTATCGTTTAGTTTAGACAACTGAAAATGTTCCCTCAAATCACTGGCACTGATTAAAATGATTGCATTTTTCCTTACCATACAATGAATGGCAAAATTTTTTTGTTATACTCCAATCTTCCTTCAATGACAAATTAAACATAGAGTAGTCGGCATCGCCGGTAACCTCTTTGACTATATTTAAGAACTTTGGCAAACAATTCATTAAAGCCTCTCCAGATAATGAAGAATACGTTTCCAAAAGTATCAAACCTTTGCACCTAAAAATCAATTCAATTTTATTGTGTTTGTAAGTAATAAATATTGTAACATAAAATGCAAATATCTTTTTTGCATTTCATATTCGAATTTTGTTCATGTTTACCTGGGGTGAGTTGGTTCTTTATATATATCCAACTGAAAATATTGATTATTAACTAAAAAGCATCTTCGTTTCTTATAAATGGTAAAATGAGCATCATCACGCTGAGCCAAAAGATTTATATAGTCACGTTGAGTTAATTGAGTTTTTACTTCGATACGAGACTGGCCGTGCACATTGGGCCGACGAATAGTGTGAATATAACTGTAATGATTATTTTGGCCACGTTTACGCAGGCGTGCTTGGACTTTGGGTCCAGATGATTGTAAATAATGATGTTCGACCTCGAAATCTTGGAAAGGTGGAAATTCCGAGTCCGGAGGCAATGAGGCAACTACAAAGTAAAAAGTATCAATTTAATAAGAGTAGAGATTAAGTGATAAAAACTTATTATACCCAGAAATTTAAGTTTTCTTGAGGTTGCCAGCAAACGATCACCAATATCAATACCAAGTTTTTGGCATACAGACTCAATCATTCGATTCATTTTCGTTTCGAAATTTGTAGAATTATCTATAACATCAAAGTAAGGATGACCCACCCAAGCAGCGGCAGACTTATAATCAAGTTCACGAGCCAAACCAACGCCTTCGGAACGACAAGCATGTTCCTAAAATAAAAATAATAATTATAATATTATTGAAACACATAACACTAAAACTAACACTAAAATCAATATCAAAACGTTAAGCAAAAATAAACAAATGAATATGCATTGATATTTTGAATATAGAATGTCTGTAGCAATAATTGCTAAAATTCTAATTACAAGAAGAAATACATTTCATTATTACCTCAAAATATTTTTTCAATCTCTTTAAAAAAATAATAAAAGTTTAATGTTATCAGAATTTTACATGATAATATTTCTTATGACAGCTTAGAATATATATAATTAAATTGGTAATTTAATTTAGAATGCAATATACTATGCTAACAATGTTTATTATGAATTTTACATTGTTTTCGTAAAATTTTTCAGTTTTTGTGTTTCTTTCATATGAAATTTAAAAAGTAATTAATGCTTGTAAAGACAATCAACGATAATGAATAAAAATTGAATGTAGTATTTAGAAATTGTATGTTATGTTTCTTAAAAGGGATCAATATAATTCACAGAATTATTTTTTCAATTTTTTTCTCTTGAATTCTTTTTTAATTTTGTTAACGCATACGGTCATATGGTTACCCTTGCGCCTTGTAAATATATTTTATACATTTATTTTGTAAGATATATGATTTAAATAAATAAATAAATAAATAAACAATTTAATAAATTTTTTAATAAATAATAACATTTTAAACGTAATTTTTATACACAGAAAAAAAATAATTCGTATCTGGAATGAATTTGGTAATAAATATTATAAATCGAACATGACTTTTTTTCCAAACCATTTTCATTCAGAACATTAAAAGTTCATAAAATGTATGAATTTGAACATGATGGAATTTTTTTGACTCTTTACTTTTTTTCTACAATATTAAAAAAAAAAAAAAATTAAAAAAATTCCATTATCTACTAAATTGTTTCCATATTCAGTAAATAATAATTGTTTATTAGCGAATTTTGTATAATTAAAAACAGAAATTGAAATGTTGAAAAACAAAATCTAAAGGCAGAAAAATAGTTAAACATCTAATTTCCATAAAATCCCGCCAAATAATCTAAAAATTATAAAGAAATAAACAAATTTTTCAATGAAAATTTCAAATATTTTTAACAAAAAGAAAAATTAAATTTGAAATATTATAAGTTTGTTTGAAAAAATAAATATGAAAAAATTCATAACATTTAAGAATTTATTCTTAAAGGTATTTTCAGACTACAATACTGAGTATTAACACACTTCAAATTAAAAATATTATGAAAATAATTCGCATTTTCAAAACATCAATCCGAAAAATACATTTTATGTTTACACTATAATATTTGTAATATTTTTTATCCAATTTTCAATTATTTATGCACTTTTCGTTCTTATTTTTAATGTATTTTACACTTTTTGTTTGTTTTTTATTGTATTTATAAAATACATACCGAATACGTTTGAAAATAAAAAGTTTTTGAATTGTTTTAAAAAATTTATGAATACCGACCGTATGCCAAAAAAATCAGTAATATTTTTGAAAATCAAATTACAAATTATATTTAGACTAGTAAATTGTATTATGATACAAACATTTTTGGCAAGTATTAATACTCAGTATTGTAGTCTAAAAATACCTTAAATATTATTAACATTAGTCAATGAAAGCAGTTCATAATATTTATGCTGAAACTTTTTAACATTGGTGTCATACATATATACATACATACATATGTATGTACACTGAAAATAATCCATGCCTAATATACACGAAAAATGTTGTACATTGTACGAAATGCTTCGTGGTTTCGCACCACGAAATTCTTTCGTAATATATACGAAATTGTACGAAATATTTTAGTAAAATGCAAAATAATTTTTTTTTTTAGAAAAAGATTGCGAATTAAAAAAAAACAAATTTTTTAAAAATTTTACAGGAAATTAGGCAACTATAAATTAAAAATTACGTTTAATTTAACTCCCTTAAAATTACGAAAATAACAAAAAAAATCGTAACAAAATAATTTTTTGTGAAATGAAAAATAATTCTTGTATATTACTAAATAATCTTGATACGAAAAAAATTCGTTACTTTCGTTAAATATTACATGCCTTAACGAAATTATTTTTGTAAAAGAAAACAAAGTTTCTTAATATATACGAAAAAAGATATTACGGCAGGTTTTCGTACTTTCGTAAAATTAGAAAAGGGGTTGAGTTGATTAAACAATATTTCGTATTATACACGAAATTTTCGTATATATTACGAAAAAAATAGTTACGAATTTTTTTTCGTAAAGTTAAGCATGGATTATTTTCAGTGTATGTACAGTGCCGGCAAAAAAATAGAAACAAGAAAATTTTTCAGTGGAAAACCTATTTTCTGCCAAACTATATAGTAGAATTTGATGATCAATATCTCAAATGAATACTATTTATATATACGTTCTTCCGTTACTCAGGTATTGTAGTTTTTTGGACTCGGAAAATTTTTATTTAAATTTAACTCAAATAAGCGTTGGAAAAAATAGAAGAAACAAGTTATTATAATGCATTGGGCAAAGTATAACAAGTAGTCCGACTCTCACGTACACGATATTCCACCTCCACATTTACGGGTGCTGTGTGAATTCAACACCTTGGTGAGAAATATTATTGTGTCAAAATACTTCAAATCTCTACTTACATTTTCGAATAAATAGCTGGTTCTACGCGAAATCTCACCTGTCCACATAAAAAGTAAAATTTTTTAAAATACTTTTACGAAATTTTTTCTTTAAAATTCCGTTTATTTTGAGCAAACTGAAAATGTTATTTATTATTGACATTTATTTTTTGTTGTGGTAGAATTTTAATTTAGAAGCAGAGTTACATTTTTTGTATTGAAAATTCAAACAAATAAAATTTTATGAATTTTTATAAAACTCTGTATGTCTGGTGAAAATTTTAAATGCTCTAATACATATACATTTTTGTTACTAATACAAATTTAGAGTTAGGTACTTTTTCACTAACACATGCTTAGAGTTAGGTACTGCTGTCAAAGAGTCGGACTACTTATTATACTTTGGCATTGGGTATGTAACAAAATATTTATAAAATATTATTTCTTTTGAAAAATTTTAAATAGAAATGTATTTCTGAAAATTAAATAGACTTTTTGTTTAGATTTTTCACATTTAAGTTGGTTTTATCAGCAATTTTGTGAATATATGGAACCTGACAGCAGAATCGAGGGCCTCACTTTCAAAATATCTTAAATAACATGAATAAAAAATAAAATAAATTGGTAAAAGTATTAGAATCACCTATAAAACAATTTTTTGAAGTGATTTAGAGTCGAAAAAGTTTTAGCCCCATTTATAGTTATCGAAAACTTACCGATTTTCACAGACAATTTTGGACTATTTAACAATTCAAACACTTTAGAACGAATAAAAATGCACTTGAATATAAAGGTATTTTGATAAAAAGTTTAAAATGTGCTAAAATAATTTCAATTTAATACAAAAAAGTCGAATTAGTATCGAAAATGCTTGACAAATCAAAATATCGTAGAGGACTTAGCATTGAAAATTAATATCGATATAGAAAAAATTTTTTATATGGTATAAAATCCTACAAACAAAATTTTTTTATTCTTTTTTGATAACAAAGGCTTACTAGACTTCTAAAAAATATAATCAAACGAAAACTATTTCAAATGTTTTGGTTTTTATATTTATTTTTAATTTTTATATAATAGAATATATCGTTTCTATAATGGTATTAATCCCAAATTCTAAACCCTCTATTGCGTTATGATTTGTCATGAATTTTCGATGATAATTGGACTTTTTGTATTAAATTTGACTTATTTTAGCATATTTTTAAGATTTCATCGAAATACCTTGATGTTTAATTCCATTTTTACTCATTCTAAAGGGTTCGAATTGTTAAGTAGTGCTAAATTGGCCAAAATTTGCCCTGAAAATCTGTAAGTTTTCGATATCTATTAATGGTCCCAAAACTTTTTCGAATCTAAATAATTTCAAAAAACAGTTTTATAGGTGATTTTAGTACTTTTACCAATTTATTTTATTTTATATACATGTTTTTTAAGATGTTTTGAAATTGAGCTCCTCGATTCAGCTGTCAGATTCCATATACTCAATAAAATGCTGATAGAACCAACTTTAATGCGAAAAATTAACCCTTTCAGGGTCAAAAATAATTTATGTCTAGAAAAAAACTTGAAAACTTATATTTAAGATAATTTGAGTATGCTGAATCCGGGAAAAATTTGAGTTTTCCCTAGTGAGTTATACAAGGTCAAAGTTAAATGTCGAATATATTCGACATTCGAAAAACAGTCTCCAAAAAGTACCACCAATATTTTTTATGATTTTTTTTTTAAATGTCTTCTTAAACTTCTTTCAATACAATACAATTTAAATCTGCATAGTCCGATCTCCTATAATACAATTTTTTTGGCCATTAAATGAAGCTGGTTTTTAAACGTTGTTAAAAAGCACTTTTTAAAAAGTAGTCATAAAGTGACAATTTCTTAAAATCTGATTTTTAAATACTTTTAAAATACGGAAGATCTTTCAAAATCTCAATTATAAATATAATAAAGTCTTCATTTTCATCTAAAAGAAAAAAATTAAAACTAAAGTTAAATATTATACCCAAAAAATGCTTAAAAACAGAGTCTATTGTAATGTCGAATATATTCGACAAAACCACGGAAAGGGTTAAAGCAAAGTCTATTTAATTTCCAGAAATGCATTTCTATTTAAGATATTGATCATCAAATTCTTCCATATTGTTTGGCAGTATGTATGTATGTAAGTATGTATGTATGTATGTATGTATGTATGTATGTATGTATGTATGTATGTATGTATGTATGTATGTATGTATGTATGTATGTATGTATGTATGTATGTATGTATGTATGTATGTATGTATGTATGTATGTATGTATGTATGTATGTATGTATATATGTATGTATGTATGTATGTATGTATGTATGTATGTATGTATGTATGTATGTATGTATGTATGTATGTATGTATGTATGTATGTATGTAGTATGTATGTATGTATGTATGTGTGTATGTATGTGTGTATGTATGTATGTAATACATACTATGTATCAATCATAATGCAACGACGATTGTGACAATCATTCGATCAAGTTTCTTTCACTTGGAATATTGAAGAAGAGGTATATGCACATAAAAAATGTACTTAATAATATTAAACATACCTCAGTTGAGTAGAATTCTTCTGCACCATTAGCAGCTGATACCAAATGCAATATTTGATTATAACGATTATCACGCATTTCAATAGGATTCCAATTGTTTGAAGCCATCATTTTCTCCCATTTCTCTTTTGAAATGTCTTAAAAAGAGTAATAAAAATAACATAAGTAATGAGTAAAATTGTATTATTTTTTGCACAACATACAAGCACTAGCATCCATAACACCTCGATCACAGATAATCAAACAGTTACGTGTACTTGATTTTCCCAACTCGAAATAGGTGTTCTCGATTTGAATCATGGTACGGATAAGATTTTCTTGAAACTTATATGCTGTAAGTAAAAATAAGAAATATCCAATATGTTACTTATTATGTGTTTAGTTAAATCCCGAAATTACAAATAAACTTTTGCAAGCAAATTAACAAAACAAAACAAAAATAACAATATCATACAGACGAAAGCTCAGCAAATTTCAAAAGTATTGGTATATTGTGCAGAAATAAAATAAAAATTAACATAAGTTTTGACCCAATAATTTTATAAATGATTGCATAAATTACAATCCGTTTGTAGTAAGATTTCAGCATTGACATTTCCAGTTTGTCATTTTATTATTTATTACAGAAATACGGACGGATAATATTTATGAATGTTTTTGATAACTATGCACATATAATGTACATAGTTCCTATTAATATAGTCCTGATATGAGCACTGCTTGGCAATTGATATGTGATTTTATTATCCTGTATTTTACAGTGCTCTAATACCACGGCTTTTTGAAGTCTGGCACTATGTTAGTCGATAAGATTTGCATTCGTTCAAGAGTTTGTATAATTGTTTAATGCTGCTATGTCCCATATAAACTGCAGTCTCCGTGTGAGAGATCCATCAGTAAAATCTGCACCATTTTCAAATACAAAGTTACTCAAAGTGGAACTGGTTGTGATTATTTTTTTTTTTTTTTGTTACTTGGTTTTTTGCACTAAACTTTAAAAGTTATAACTTTAAATTAAAAACGGAATTGATGAAAAATAAGTTTTGGCTATGTAAAATTTTATATTGTAGTTTAACAATTTTTTATTTTAATTTATTACTATACTATTATTTAAATACTAATTTTTAATATTAAGAATTTATTAATTATGTAAACTATTCATAAGTAGAAATTTATAACCGACTATGGGTTTTTGGAATAAAGAAATTGCAATTAAAATCCTATTTACACTCTCCTATTTGGGAACTCTACTGGAGATGAGAAATGGACTTCGAGAACTTAATATCTTGTAGAAAAATTAGAATGACCTGCTCAGAGCACCGCCCTTAATCCAATAGATTAATTTTGGACCATAATTTATAAAAAATTGAGATCGAATAGTGAAAAAACAAGGCTTTCTTTTGAAAATAATGATATATTAGGTCCTATTAGGACTTCATTAAAATTTGCGAGCTGTGTCATAAATGGCTACAAGAGAAATGCGATGCAAACCAATTTGTTTAAATCATATATAAAACGATAATAACAATCTATTTTAATAACATTTTCAAAAAAACTTGGGATAAAAAATAATTTTGGGAAAATAAATATTTTTAGTTAAAAAAATTAAATAACAAATTTTATAATGCGACTAGTGTTTGGTTATCATAAACAAGTTATCGGGAAATCCCGGAAAATATTAATGTTTTCCCTGAAATGGAAAAATAATAAAAATATCATAATTTGAAGAACATTTGAATAATAAATGTTGCTCATTAAAGTTTGCACTAAATTAATTTAATAATAATTATTATTTATTTGGGTTGAACAAAATTATTGATACACTTCAGTAAAAATTATAAGATTTTGGCTACTTCCGAATCCTTATTGTTTTATAACTTCTTCCAGTCCTTCTGTCAAAGAATTTACCGTCTTTGAACAGTGTCTGTTACAGCCCTCGTTTTACCCTGCCATCTAACTATTCCCACAAATGTTTTACAGAATTGGGATAAGCTGAAATAAAATATATAATTTGTATTTATTTTAATTTCTTAAAGTAATAAAATGAAAAGTAGCGTATAATAAGAATTGTACTCTTTCCTCTGATATCCATATTATTATAGAGTCACAACTAATAAATTTAGTAAGAAAATCCTTTAAAAACAATAAAGGATTATAAAATTTATTTACCAAATAAATTTCGTATGTTCCTATTTAAATGCTTTGGTTCAAGTGTGAAATATATTGTTGTACAGTACACTGTACTACACTGCAGTGTAGTAAATTTATTTATAATAAACAAAGACTCGTACGTACACATACATACATTTGAAGAGAATTTCTCCAATTGATTTTCTGAAACATATCGTCATACATTGAACAAACAAAAAATAAATAAATAAAAATTCGATTTATTTGCAGTCACGTGAAAACGATTGTGTTCGCAAATATTTTGTAATAAACAATTGCGCAAATGATAAGCCTATTGTATGCCGTTTATGAGTTCCAACATAAAAATACTATCAACTATTTCGTGGCATATTCATAAATGCTAAATAAAGTTGTTGATGGTTTACTATAGGTAAAATGTACGTAATAAACATAAAATAAACGATTTTTGTCTTTACGAATACGGGGGTTTGACTTTAACGCCATACATATTAATTACACACTTCATTTTAGCCACTTCTTTGATGTCAATTTGTAAAGACATGTCTACACTGATAACTCCAATGAACTTGAAACCATTATTTATTTTCAGATGAAACAATCAGCACAATGTTTTTAAATCCATTTGGTAAGAAATGATTAAATAAAAATAACCTAAGAAGTCTAAAACTTATTAAAAAGTGGAAACTAGTGAAAATATATAATAAAGAGTAATCTTAAAGGACCAAAAATTTATGTTTTTAAAAAGAATACACTTGGACAAGCATACCTTTGATAGGAAACGCCAATGTAAACAATTTTATTTGATATTAAAAAATAATCAAGTGGGGAAGAACCAAGAGAGAAATAATATAATAAAGAAATATTTAAGTAGTCTGCAGAGATTAGTGCGATACACAAAAATTTCGTGATCTGTAGAATTATATGCACGGATGTGAATTATGCATGATTATTGCTTTAGCGTGATTATTGCTTTATAATGCGAGCAGATAATGAAAGACATTTATTTGTTTGTATAATGTGGAATATATTTTGATTTAAACGTGTTTAACGATTAACAAAATTTAATTATAACAAAAATCATAATGTTATTATAAAATCGTTGAAATTGTTCTTTAACTAAAGCTTAATAGTAGTATGAGAAAATGTGGAAGGGACAACATATTTTCAAAAATAATACTTATATAATATGACCACTGATTTGTTGAGACTACCAAAAGAACAATTCAGTTTTTAATTTAAAATATTATTGTCTTCCTCTATAAACGACTTCCTCTAAATACGAAAAAATGTAATAATGCATAAAAACGTTTGTTATGTAGAAATATATTTTGCTGTACAAAATCAATTTATTGAATTTTTTCTTTGGATGACTATGTCGCTTTTAATTCAATTAGTTTACTTGACAAGCCATTACACCAATTAAATATATACATATGACGCAATTTTACAAAAAAAAAAATATTTTATCTAACAAAGAGGATATACACTGCGAATCACTTAACTAAGGAATTTAATTTAAACTAAATGTTGGAGGACTACAAAAATCCATATTTTTACTATTAACTGGGTGAAAAAAACTGAGCAGATTATTTTGTTCCTTCTATAAAAAATAATTTTTTTCTCTTTACCTATAATAAAATAAGGATTATTTTTATTTTAAAGAAACTAGGCGGAATCTGGTAATTCACATCGATGAATGTTATAGTGTCATAAATAATAAACAGCAGTATTTTAAATTTCAAAAAATGGGACAAGAGAAAGCTCTTAAAACTGCCGAAAAGGAGAAAGAATGCTTTTTAAATCGTGGACTAAATGCCGCCTAAATATCAGAAATAACTAAAAAGGAAATAGCCAATTGTATAGAGTTACTTTAGGAAGATTTAAAACTATAGTAAAATATGAAACGATGTACAAAAACGCAACAATGTGTAGAGAATTGCATGTCCTAGGAGAAAATTTGCAAAGAAAGCGGAGTAAATGCAAGTGTTTTCATAGTTTGTCGTATGTTAAAGTCATGTCCATTTACATTTCGTCGAAACCTGCAAAAGAAACCTCTACTGAATTAGAATCTTAGAGCTCAGGGCCTCCAATATGCAACGAATACAATGACTTGGTAGAATAAGTTGATCAAAGTAGTTTTTCTGGGGCAAAAAGCTAAATATCGATGAATCTGATGGTTATAACTTTTATATCCAAGACTTAGTAAGGAAGAAGAAATGTTTTTTTAACGTCAGTATGCCAGAGAAGACGGTGTTTTGGTGTGGGGTTCCATATGACACTATCGAATTTGTATTTAAGATGAAAAAACGATTGCTGCATCGTACAAGAGAATAATAAGAGAATTATTCCGTCTAGTTTCTTTCAAATAGTATAACAATTCCTTATTCAAGTGATGCATAAAAAATCATTATTTTATTATGGGTAAAGAAAAAAACTAAATTTCTTTAGAAGAAACAAAAAATCCGCTGTTTTTTCACCCAATTATTAGTAGGAATATGGCCTTTAAAAGTCTATAATTTTGTAATCCTCCAATATTTAGTTTACAAGATATTTTCAGTCAAAGTCTGTCTATGAAATAAAAATCTATTGTCTTTGATATTAATGCTATAAGAAATTAAAAATGCATATGTATATACATATGTACATAATAGTTTTATTTTTTTTTATCTAACTTTTAATTTTTCATATTTTGCGCGCAATATGGTCTAGTTACCCTGCGGGCTTTCTTTAGTATATTTTATAAATTTATTTATAAAGTATATTTTAATAAATAAATAAATATATACATACACATGTAACTACATAGCTTAAAGCATTTCTAAAATCCAATATTTTCACAATTTATTTAACACTTATTATAGGTATTTTAATGCCAAAAATACCTTCCTATATTGAAATTTAAAATATGATTAGCTTAGTTCGCAAACGTGACAAGTCCTTTCCAATAAATTTCACAGGAGAAGCCACAAAAAGTTATAGCTTTGTTTGCTTTTCTTTTTTTTGTAACGCAGTTTTTTTCTTTGATTTCTCGTTTTTCAATACCTGCAATGTATTGCCATATAACTTGGCTACCCCCACTAAAAATATTTTCATTCAATTTTAATATAATTATTTAATATAGCGAAACCATAAGTCCTTCAAAACTTTAAAATTTCAATTATTTACATTAAATAATTCTATGTAAAAATTGAAAACCCTAAATTTTTTCCGAAAAAAAAAAAAAAACATCAGCCACTCCCATTTTATTTGAATCCTCTAAACACGCATGATTTTTCCAAAAGAGGACTAATATCTTGTTAAAATTGGCACATAGCTCATCCTAGCATGATTAGTAAGGGATTAAAAGTCACCGAAAATATCGCGTGCGCTAAGCGAGATATTGGAGGTCAAATGTTACAAAAACAGGGTTCTGGCGAATATCTTGGATAAAAAATTTTTTGAGTATCATTAGTTCTTTTCGAGCTATAGTACATTATTTTTTCATGGCAATGATATTTTCAAATCTTAATATTTTTAACTTCTTTCTAATATTAGCTAAAAATACATAATTCATTTCTATTACATCCCTCATAACAGCACTATCTAGCTCCTAGTGGAATGTCCGTCCGAAATTTTCGATGGGGTCACAGGTCATAATTATGAATATACATAATTTGAAAAAATTTGAGAACATAATCTGCAAAGTCAGAAAAATATTTCCACTAAATTTTACTGAAATCAGACTACGGCTTCAACTTGCTCTAATACTTATAGACAAACAACTGTGTTTTCATTCTTTTTAAAATTCAAAAATTGTTGCAAAACATTTAAAGATAAATTCGGATTTTAATAAAATTTGGTTTGAATATTACTCTAAATATGTGGATTGTGGCCACCAATTTTTTTTATAATATAGTTTTAAAAAGTGTAAGAGACGCTCCTTCTCAGAAGGCACCGACACAGTTTCGCTAAATTCGAAAAAATATACGGCCTTGTTGGTGACGCTAGGGGTTGGTCCACTCCCTGGAGACAACAGGTGGATGCTGCCATCAACCCGGCTAACACTCATAAGAGTGATGGATCGATCGCAGCATCAACCTGCAGGCAACCAATGTCTTCGGAGCGAGCTGCGGAGGTTAAAGGTCTACCACCCAAAAACCCTAGGTTGGTGACCAAAACACAAGGTAAGGTAAAGATAACTGGTAAACTTCCGGCCCGCTCTCCCACTGATCTCTGCAAGGAGATACCGATTCTCCAAGCCAGTGGTGTCAAAGTCACCAAGCATCCCGAAGAGGTCTGGTCCATCCCGGCTGGCGCTCCTAAGGATCCCCGTAAGGAGGCAATTAAGAGAGCCAGATCTGGGGATGATTAACCCTCTTCGTCCAGCAAGAAGGTGAGGAAGTCAACCAGCCAGGCTGCATGATACAGATGGAGGATCAGTACCGATTTTTGGCAATCGATTGAATAGGCAGATTGATGAAATCGTTATCTTCGAGAGTAGTTCGGAGGATGTATCCTTCAATGGTGCAGACTGGATTAAAGGCGTGAATTGTGGAAACAAGAACTCCTTGGAATTCTTAAAATCTACAATTAGCCAGTGTAGCGACATTAACCCAACAGTGGGGAATTAATTCTTTTTAATTCTCTATAGAAATTGTAATTAAATTAAAATGCGTTAAGGAAGATATTCGCAAAAACTGATTTATGTAACATTTGACCTCGAATAACACGCTAAGCGCCCACGATATTTTCGGTGACTTTTAATCCCTTACTAATTATAATTAGTTAGGTATTAAAAGTCACCGAAAATATATTGGTTTTAATTTCATTACTGCAAAATATAGACAGTTTTGATAGCAAATAGTAACAATTTCTCTTGTTGCACATGGCAATACTGCACAGTTTTAGGTAGTACCCAAAAATAGCAAAAAGGATTAACATTAGATTAAATTTATTCCTTGATTAACTAATCTAATTATTTACTGGTGTTTAAATCCGAAATCCGATCTTAATAGGATTACATTTAACTAGAAATATAATAATAAAACTAACTTAAGATATTGAAGACATCTATGTATTTGTTTTTGTATTTTTTAATTTATGTATACACTCTATATGAGCAGTTTCATTTAAATATATGTATGTATGTTTTATTTATAGCATATTTAAAAACATGTTTACTTCTTAACTCCAATAATACAGAAGATATATTACATAATACGGTACATATGAATTGTCACCAATAGATATTAAAATAGAACTTCCTACATATTGTCAATTTTTAAAAATTTATAAGCAGAAGCAACATTAAACATTACAAAAAAATTCATAAAAATAAATGTTAGGTATGTATATATGTATGTATGATTTTTACACCATTTAAAATTTGAACAGAAATTTAGTATTTGGATTATTTTAATCTGAAGCTATTTTAAGCAATGACACATGATGGTGTTATTAGATGAGCTGAGACTTTGGACAAAAAAAAAACCCAATTATGCAAAATGGAATTGAAATGTTGGAATTCAAAAACATTTTTATTATGTAATTGAATAATTTTAGAAAAACAATGCATGTCAATTAAAAAGGTCATTCTTGAAAAAAGAGAGCGTATACACACACTCACCTTCGCTGCCATTGGGCTTAGAGGCAGCATTCGCCAAGCAACGTGGACAGGATGCGGTCAAATCGATAAGACTATGTTCCGGAGCGGCAAAGGGAAGATTTTTATACTTAAATGTGGTTGGTGTTGGAGGTGCTGAATACACATACATAAAAGTATTTACCATTAAGTTTAAAATAAACACAAAAAATAATAACAATAAAAATATTTGTATGTGCAATATTAGACAAATTTAATGTACCTACGTACATATGTATATATTTGTTTATATACAAAACATGTGACAAGAAATTTATTTACTTTTTTCTTTTGTTTTGTTTTAATGCTAATGCAAAAAAGAAAAAGTACGCACTAACACTTGAGTCTTTTATTATCAAACAAAAATATTTTGATATGTACTGTATGATCATATGTGTGCGTAATATACAGACATACATATTTTCGTCATTCGAAATAACTAAATCTTAGGTTTGCTTTATATTTTCTTAAAAAAAGAACGATTAATTTTCTTTTAAAAACAATAGATCGCGTGTACATATGAGTGAATGTCATACAATTTGCTTAAAGTGCCAAATCATTCTTTAGTATACAAACATATTTACACTTTTGACACCAAAAGCGCCATAATAAGATAATTGAATTCATTCATAACAACGTATTACGATCGAATCTAATTCACTACTCGTATTCTATAAAATATCAAAGATCATAATTTGCAGTTTCGGTTATGAGAACTATTATTTTCCATTCAAAAAAGTTTCAAAATATCTTAAATTTCAGCACTTCAATTGTCTGTACTTTTAAATTTTATAAATGTCTTGCTATTTATAAATCAAGAATTGTTAATCAAGACGGTTAAGAATAGTCACCCCTAGATCAAAAATATTTTGGGAAACATTTTTTAACAGAACAGGCTGCATATATTTAGAGAGGAGTATATATCTATATATCTATTTATTTATCTATCTATCTATCTATCTATCTATCTATCTATCTATCTATCTATCTATCTATCTATCTATCTATCTATCTATCTATCTATCTATCTATCTATCTATCTATCTATATATCTATCTTGGTGGCGCTGTAGTTTTATATTATAGCTAATTGCAACAAAATCACTGAACTGGTTTTGTTAAAATTTGAAGGACATTGAGACACACTCATGATCCAAATTTATGAACCGTAATTCGAATAAAATATTTAATGTGTACTCTTTTATTTTACTTTTTTTAAATTTACGGAACTTTACATTGTCATTTCAAAATTTTATTGAATTGAGTGCTGTGTAGAGTTGGATTGACCATCACTGATATTTACTGATAAGTGTAATTATTTAGAGACACGCAAAAACGATAGTATATATATTTTTTGGACAAATTATCAAATAAAGAATACAAATTATTTCCTACATTTTTAATTAATGTCAAATACTTTTTGTATAACTTGTTACCATTTTCCAAATACATACATATAAAGTTTTTGTTCACATTAACATTACACGAAAAGAAATAAAATTAATGTTAGAATTGCGGTCTAAATTATATATTTAACTTTTAAGCAGTAATAAATATAAAATTGTGTATTTCTGCTTTGCATGTCTTTGCTTACAAAATTTGTTTGTTCGTATTAAAATACAATAATAAAAAATTACCTTCTTTCTCTGTTAGATCTGAAAATTTAACTCCTCCACTAAATAAAAAGAACAAGAATAGAATGATAACAGTAGTAAATTTGTATATGAAAACTATTTTTTGGTTGTGTAAGCAAAAGAAATATATTATCAGCATATTTACCTGAGAAGAACCGTTGCAGTTTCGGGCACACGAAATACCTAAAAAATTAAAAATATTATTTAATAAAATTATTAAAAGTCCATGAAATATTTAAAATCTAGTAGCATTATTATCTGACAATTCAAAGAGACAATTTTTACAAAAAGTAAAAACTTTCTGCGCTTTTTTTACAAAAGACATCTTTAATTACATTCATTATTTTATGTATAAGGCCATAGCTACTTACAAATTTGTATTTAAAAAACAATGTTGATGTCCATACTTTAGAAAATAAATATTATTTCGAAGACGTTTAAATAGACCAAAATATTCAAAAAGAATGTAGAATTTAATTACAATTTATTCAATATTTTCACACATAACCATCGAATTAAAATGTTTATCAAATCTCCAAGATATTACAAAAATAACTATTTTGTTCTCATAAAAATTCATACATATGACTTTATGTACAAAATTAGATAACGTCTTAACATCGAACTGACTAATAACTAAAGTAAAAATTATATCCTAACTAAAGGTATGTAAAGACATACTTATTTAAAAGTATAATAATGTATATACATACATTGTTAGAAATTTAATAATCGGATTAAATCGCTACAATAATTAATACGATTCAATTTTAAAACTCTAAAAAATAAGCGAATTATATTCACTCTTTTCTTTAATTTCCAGAGTATCTTTTGTAAGAAACTATAAGCTAAAACTAATTCCATAGATTATTACCATTTTTATAGCATAGAAGCAAATAGTTTTTGAAAAATAAACTTGAAGTAAAATATAAAAAATATTGAGAGAATTAAAAAAACTGAAATGGGATTTTCACATTTTAAAAATTTAGACAGGCCGTTTATTATGCAGGTAAAAAGTATTTTTAAGTGGTTGATGATAGTCAACAAACTTATGAAAATGTGTGGACCGGTTTTTTATGTAACACAAAATTTTACCCTAAACTTAATGCTCACTGAAGAACTAAAAGAAATAATGTTTGACCCATCTCTGACTGACTCAAATAAAAAATCCAGTAACGGCATCGAACAACTTTTTGGGCGAATTCAGCATAATGTAAATACATACATTTTATATTGCGCTATATAACAAAATTATATTTTTCGTTTCTGCTATTCTTAAATTCTAATGTGAATTGCTTAACTTACCTTCCATCCTAAATTTTCAAAAAAAGTGCATAAACGTGACTGTCCAGTTGTTTTTCCACCACAAGGACCTAAAAATTAAAAAAAAATTAAATAAATTAAATATCAAAATACACCAAATAAACTATATAGTATTATTACTACATATTCAATACAAAATTATTTATTAATAAAAATATTCCTTATATTGATTAATATTGAAAGTAAATAAAATAACAAGGGAAACCAATATTTAAATTTTATTAAAATGTTTAAAAATTTTGAAAAAAAAAACATTTTTGTTTGTTAAGTTTAAAAACGGCAAAAATACATTAGTATCATAAATGCAATGCATTTTTGCCGTTTACTAGTTACTTGTTTAACTAGTAATCTTCGATTCTATGACAACACCAATTGAAATGTTTATTTAGAGGCTAATATTGGATGAAATGTGTCAAACTTTGTAGTTTAAAATTTGTTTTTATATATTGGCTATCTGATTAATTAAGCCTTTATTTGTATTTTTAATATTTATTTTTATAGTATAATTTTTTAAATTTTAAAAGCATATGTTTAGTTTTTTCTGCATATTTAATGCGCTTAACCATTTTTAGAGCATAATTTTGGTTTTCCTGCTTATTAAACATTTAATATACAATTAACACAAGAATTATTTATTTATATAAATGATCAAAATAGATTAAATTGTATTATTTGGTATGTGAACCACCACCACTGGCGACCATATTATGTTTATACTTTGAAGAAAAATTACCCCACTTAAATGTTAAATTTATTCCTGTTAATAACTTTAAAATATTGTTTTGGTATGATAAATCTTATAGTGATTGACAGTTTTCGTTGTTCCACATGTGAGAAAGAAAATAAAAAGAAATAAGATTTGTTTAAAATATTTATAGAATTATTATCCCCATTTAAAATCAAGGAGAAAGAATTATTTTAAAAAGTATGTGTTTTAATAAATTAATCGGAAACACATTATTTCCCCTTTTTCATAAACAACATTTTATTTTATAAAAGGTTTATAAACAAAATTTAAAATACATAAGTATATCTATAAAAATTACTATCAGGCAATGACAAAGAGATCTTTGTCGAAAAAAGTAAAATATTTGCGTAATGTGAGAGTAGAAAATATTATATTGTGACGTTACAAAAATGGATACTATTTTTGTAATAATTAATATCCCAGCAAAAAATAATTAATAAAAATTAAATAATTAACCAAATATTTCCTTACAAATAAAAACCCAGTTAAAAGTGAGGAAATTAGGACGCTTAGGCTATTTAAATCCAAAATTTTATTTTTAATTTTTATGAACAAATATATGTATTAGTTTTATATTTTAATTTAACTTTAAAATGTATGTATTTGTATATAATTTTAAAGGGATTGATTGTTATTTTATGGTTTTACATTTTTACACTGGTCACATGCTGTTTTTCACAATTCTAGCATCAACTACGTACTTCACTCATTAACACCATTAAGATGTTAAATATTTGTTAATATTGTTATGGAAAATGAAAGGTACTATTTCAGATAGGTTTAGGGTTTCTGTGCATAACACTAACGTTGTTTCTTAATTAATATTGTAAAAGTAGTTAAATAAATATTAAAAATAAAAAATGGTTTCATTATAATTTTAACAATAACAGTTAGAAATTATACAAACTAAATGTTTGGTTGTTACAGTGGCGGATAAAAGAAACGCTTATATATCAAAAATTTTTTTCAAAGATAATTTAAAATTTTTGAGTAATTTATTCCATTGTTTCATAATTTTATTTATCTGTAGAAAGATTCAAAAATTTTCGCCTAGAGATCTTATTAAAAATAAATTTTACAGATAATTTAAATTTTTTAAGTAATTTACTTCATGATTTAGGACATTTTTAAAGAGGGGCCTCCGATTTAATACAAATGAGTTAAAAGAAGTATAAAGTGTAAAAAAGGATGAAAGTAAACTTGAATAACTTTCATACTGATATTCTAATGGTTAGTTTTTGTATGACAATTAATTTTTCACACGAAATATAACCGCTTCTATCAATTTTTTCACCACTGTATATGATTAATTGAATGAAGGTTCGTAAAAACTTTTGAAACCAGGACTAAAAGATGAAAATGTGGAAAATTGGTGGGTGATACGACTTTTTTATTTCCATATCCAGAATCAGCACATCAAATAACACTGGGATAATTGAAAATTATTTAAAACGTTTTTGATCGTTGGCCAGTGTAATTATTGAATGGAATTATTAAATTTATGCTACTTCTACCCCTTTTCTAAGGATTTATAATTTTCTGCCTTCTTTGTCAAATTTTATTTTTAAAATACACAAAATTTTAAGCGGAAAATTAAAAAAAAGTGCTTTGAGTTTAATATGTAGTAAAATCAAATCATTATAAATAAGTTTAGACTTTGCGCGGAACAATTATGAAAATATATAGACTAAAACAAAATTATTTTTCGTGGAAAAAATGGAAATAAATCCTGATCTCATTATTTGATTTAATAAGGTAATGACGAAATAAAGACGATTGATTGGTGGTCAAGATTTACAAAAAAAAAATAAATTTCCTACATTTTGGTTGAAGATAATTTTTAATATAGAGGTTTTGAGTTATAGAGCATTATTTATCCATTGCAATGACTTATAGATAACTTAACAACATTTGGTATATTGTTTTCCATTGTAGAAAGACGGTCCATTATTTCACTTAGGTCCAATACAATCGGATGCCCTTGTAATTTTTTAAACAAACTAGTATTTCCACAAAAATCAAAAAATCTCCCATTAATTTATTAACTTTTTAATTATTAAATAATATTTTTTTTATTCAAAAATTACCGGAATTCCGGGAAGTAAAATGTGTTTTCCAATTTAACATATTCGTTAAAATCTCAAACCCTAGCATAAAGACCTCATGGTGCCATCAAAAAATTTCTTTAATTAGGTATATTTTGAAAATGTCGGTATTTTACCATACACATCTCTAAGTTTGTATAATATATTACTGAGATGTGAATAAATGAAAATAATTTTTTTCTCAAATTGTATTCTTTGGCATCTATAAAGAACGCGCAAATATTTGGCTAATATAATTATACATATATGTATGTATGTATGTAGAGGTGTACATACATATAAATGTATGCATATACATATGTACATCTATTTTGAATTTTAGTTAAACCCATTTCTTCTTATTGAATCACCAAATTATTTTAATCTCCCACGATTGGCGAACGAATTCATTGTAATATTATTTTTAAGTATAAAAATCACAAAATTGTATATCAACAAGAAAACCGACAACAGACAGGCTGCATTACAATGGGTGTAAAGAGTAACAAGTAGGGAAGAAAATAAAACGACCTTGACATTGAAAAATACCATGAACAAGTGACTACGATGTAATACTGTATATAAAAAACACATATCAACATCTATACGACGAATGTGTTGATAATACAAAATTTAAGTACAAACTTACGTAGAAATCAAAAATAGACATACATACATACTTATCTTACTTTGAATAGCTATAACCCTCTCAAGGTAGTATTAACAAATAATAAATTAAATGTAATAGAAAAATATCAGAACATACCTCCAGTAAGTACAATTTTATACACTCGTTTCTCATGGTGATCATTATTCACTTTCTTAAGCTTGAGACGTGGTATATCCACTACAGGAGTTCCTTCAGCGGAAGCATTTGAACTCTTATCTTGTTCGTTATTTTCATCATTCCGCGAATCTTGATTATTAACCCCAGACTTTTCCATTGTGGTTATTGTTATTATTACCAGTAGTAAAAATGTTGAAAATTTAAAATTCCGATAATGTCCCTTTTCTGATCTATTTGTTGTATTGATTGTTTACTTCCAAAGGGAGTTTTTTCGTTTTTAAGGTTAGTATGTTACGTAGAGGAAAGCAGGATTGATTTTCCGTATTTTTGATTTTACTCAAACTTTAAAAATTTTGTATTTCATAAATTTTCAACGAATTTGAATTTTTACTTTGTTTTTTTGTTAAATTTTTTTGCCAAAACCATAAAAAATATTATACCGCATGGAGCACATGTAATAACAAAAAAATATAGATTCACTAACACACTCTCCTCACAGATGCATTATTTCGTTACGTGAACGACAACGAATTTTGCAATTTACTTTTGTCAGTTGTTTAACTGTGATAAAAACATTTTATAATTAAAGTTTTCTGATATTTTTCATCACAAATCCAAAAGTTTTCACTGCGAGACATTGGTGGCGACACTATTTCCCGATACCGGACTTAAAAAAAATATGTACTACTTTAACGAATTCTAAAAGAAGAATAAAATTCTTTTTGCAAGGTTCTAAAAATATTAAAGAAAAAAACAAGAGGAATTTTTAGATGGTGGCAATAGCCAACCAACTGATTTTTACTTGTTTCTTTCAAAAAGCTGTCAAATTATTGTTTTTACATTTCAATATTACTTTTCAGGTATTTATTAAAAATTAATTCATTTTCAATTTAATAAATCATTAATTAATATTATACTTTAACAATTATTTTATATTAAAATTTGAAGCAGTCCCCTGATTTTGTCATCGATTAAGCTTGTTTATTGTTCTCGACATGTCACCACCTTGCCTTAATTCTTGGCGGAAAACTGATAAATAAACCCAGTGTTGCATTTATTGATAAGAAGAAAAATTAATAAAGCAAGTGTCAAAAACAACAAAAACAGGGTTGTTTGTGCTAATGTATGAATCAGGTATGGTAATATCAATAGAATTGTACTTTAAACACTAAAAAAATACAGACAACCCCGTTTATGACGAACTCAGAAAAATCATTAAAATCATTCTAAAGCCTTATACTGTGAGCGTCAAAAGAAAGTGTACACCAATTTCAGTTCTACAAAAGTCTTTGTTAGAGTACAGATATTGATAAAAATTAAAATGTTTTATTGAAGTTTAGAAGGCTTATATAATACGAATTAACTGTGAACAAACAGCTGCCCAAAGTGAAACACAGGCTTAGATTATAAATGTTTTCTAAAAATAATGCTGATTTTACGCGTCATAAAAAGTGTACAATAGAAGCATTGCTCTTTCGATCTTTGAGTGTATCGTGGAAATGCTTAATTGTGTTATTTTGCAGATTTATTCGGATTTTGTTAAAAATAAGTTCAAATATAAAAAAATTAAATAATTTTTAAAATAGACTCCCCCCCGTACCGTGAAATATCATTTATAATTTAAATAAAAAATCAATATTTACGTGAAATGTAACGAATTGTCAGAAATAGTCAGTGAATAATTAAAAACTATGGAAAAAGTGTGTATGACATCATACGGTTGAGAATTTTCTTTAACCAGGACTACTAAAATGGCTTACTAATGCTAAAGAAAAAATCGTGAGGGCCAAAGCCCAATTCCCTGAAAATTGTTGTGGAATTATAGAAAAATATAACAGTTACACCAGGGACCCTAGTGGATATGAGTTCAATTCAAAGACCACATTAATAAACACTACATACGAGAAAGCCTCTTAAGTAACCTTACTTTCATATTAAAAATTAATCAACAAAACTGGATAAATTTTACAAAAGTGGGTAAAAACTCTGATCATTACTTCTGGAGATATATTTTATTAATAAGCAAAGCAATACAAAAAAATTTTTGGACCATTTACGGTTTTATCAATAATTATACTGCAACACAAGTTTTTCTGCTAATAAAATAGCTGTACACTTTCTTTTGACGCTCGCTGTAGTTTCATCAAATTCAACTTTACTACGTTCATATATCATGTTTCTTCAAAATAGACCTCAAATTCGACTCGTTTTTCCACATATTTTTCAGAACAGGAATGCATTTTTCCGTACTTATGTTTAATTAACACAGCTAGTGTCAAAAGCAAAAATTTAATTTTCAAAAAATTTTTAAAAGATTTTAATTTAATAAATAATTGTGTTTAAATCATCAATTCAGTGTAATTTAAGTAAATTTCAAATATAATAATGTGATAATTTTGTGTATTAGTCCATCGTGCCAGACTTTATCGAAAGCTTGAGAAATATCTATGAATAAGCTGAGCAATATTGCTTGCTCTCGAAGGCCTTCCGAATAAGAGTAGTTATTCGATGTACCTGTTCGATAGTGCTGTGCTTTCTTCTGAAACCAAACCGATGGTCAGGAATAATGCAATTATAGTTAAGGTGTACTATAAGGCTTTCAAGCAATAACTTTTCAAAAAGTTTTGAGAATATAGACAACAGGCTAATGGGACAGTATGATGTCACTTGAGTGACATCATAACAATTTCGGATACTTTCCATGAGGTACGAAAATATCAAATACGTAGCACCGAGATAAAGATGAACAAAATAATTCTCAGTGCTGAATTGGGCAGGTTACTTATCATCATGGTAGTATTTTTATCTATACCAGGTGATTTTCCAGCCTTTAGATCTTTGATTGTCGTCTTCACGGTAGAGAACCGGAATTTTATTGGGCGTGGAACCACATTATATATAATGTTAGCACTAATAGAAGAATCTGTATCATTTTCAGTAAACACATTCTCCAAGTGATTGGCGAATGCTTCAAGTTTTTCTGACGTATTTCTTGCCCATTGACCATTCTGGAGGCGTATGGGTGACTCATATGCAATAGGGCATTGCATATGTTTAACAGCTTTCCAGAGACTATATTCTGTTTTCTTAGTAGGGTCTAAGTTTTTGAGATAATTTCTCAGATTAGGTTCCTTATTATTTTTTAAGGCGATGTGTCTTCTTTAGCACTGATTAAGTTTAACCTTTATGTTTGGAGATCGCGATTGTTGCCATTGACGTCTGAGTGAAGTATTAGGAAGGCTTGAGAAGTTAGAAGCTTTATATTTATCATATAAAGGTCTTCTGGCCTTATTTGATTGTTGCATGTGTATATATACTGGACCTCGATAGTTAGCAGTGTGATTTTGACCACAGTTACTGCATTTTCTTTTGTTACCTGTTTTTTGGGGTGGGGACAATCTTGGCTTTTATGGATGTCTCCGCATCTCACACAAACAGATGGTAACTTGCAGAAAGTTCTGGTGTGACCGAACTCTTGGCAATTTAGGCATTAAGGAGGACCTCTGCGTTTAATGGGTTCCTCTACAGTTATTTTGCGATTGAGAAGATATCATAAACTATATATGGGATGAGTATCACCCTTTTTCTTCAATTGTGAAGTGTTAAAAATAATTTTGTCCTCGTTAAATATATTGTGAATGGACTTCACTTCATAACCTTCAGTCTCTAGCGCCTTTTTAATGTCATCAGTTGGTACAGAGCTGTCTACACCTTTGATAACTACTGCCAAACCCTTTGCACTTTTTAGTTGATATGTGTTATTATTTTTTTTTTCTCAGAATCAAAACTATCAACTATTGTTCTAAAAGACTTTTCTGAATAAGTCTGTATTTTTGTGGTTTGTGGTCTTTTAGAGGCATGGATGGTACTTTTTCACTTTCTTGGTTGTCAAGGAGTGCAAAAAGATTTTGACTTACCGAATTTGTTTTCGCCTGTTTTGGATTTGGTTCCAATTTTGAAGTCCTAGGGCTGGACTTACGTTTCGTATAAGTGACATAACGGTCCATTCCCGTTTGGATCTTTTATGCGAGCTCAATGTATTTGGATTGTTTCTTGGTATGGCACCAGTATTCTTTGACATTGGGCTTGAGTGACCTTCCTTATAATTAATGATTTTTATAGTTTTAATATTGTTACTATTAATACTATTTGTGTTATTGTTCACATTAGCATTACTATTTTCATCAACCATTGTATCAGTTGTTTGTTTTTCTTTTTTTTCTTTTGCGTTGTCTTGTTTTGGCGCACTTGAGAGAGGAGATCTCTCGTTTGTTGTTGTTTTTGAATCTGTTGTTTGTTTATTTATTTTTACTAGAGTTCGCCCAGCGGTCGAAATTCGACCAGAACCAATGCTGGAAAAATTACATAAATAAATAATTAAATAAGAATAAAACCCTATTTCTGTAGTTCAAATCTGTGGTAAAAAATTAACTTTATTGATATTATCAAAGTGTATAATTTGCTTTGAATAATGTTTTCTTTTAGAAAATGTGATGGGTTTTAGTAAAAGTCCCATAAGAAGTTTAAAACCTCAATTGTCAAAATTAGTTATACAACTTGTTTTACAAAAGTATTTCAACTATTTTAAAAATAATAAAAAATAACGAACATTTCTTCTATCGACTTATTATCCCCTACATATTTACGCATCATTCACAATGCTGGAGTACTCTACTGTACAGTGTACACACCAGTAAAGAAATGTTAGCTGTTTAAAATACAGAGTTGAAATGTTCTAAATAATTTGTCAAAACAATGAAAATATTTAAAATAAATAATGTCTTATCTAATTATAAATAAATTTTATTTGGATGTCATTAGTAGTCCATCCATCAGGTATATGCTGTATAAATTCTCCCTTATAACACTCGACAAAGACTTCAGCAGACATACATTTATTCAATTTTAATGTCTTATAATAGAATTTAATAGTAGACATTCTATGAGGCCTTCTAATGGGCTTTTATTAGCCTTGATATAGAAGCGCTTAACGATATGCATTTTATTTCTTACTGACACTGAATCAATTCGTTAATCCATCATTTAAATCTTCCAAATCAATCAAAACTAATAATTATGTACCACAATTCAGTATTTTTTTTAACTACAACATTTTGTCGTTAAATAGTAAAAATTCTTAAGTTAACAATAATTGTCGTTGTGTGGTATGTATTCTGAATTTCATTTCACCGATTTTTTTTCGTTAAACATAAACGAAAAAATAAAAAATAAATAAAAAGTTCACGTTAATAATTTTATATTTTAAAAATATTTCAATACATAACCTTTGACATTCTTATATTTTTCCGATATTTGTCTTTAAAATATTCTACGGTCGTTAAAAAGTTAGGGAATTGAAAATTCGTTAATGTAACTGATATTTGTCATTACTTTACTATATCAATACTTAAAATTAAAAAAGTAAATTACTGAATTCCGGTACTGATGTCCTACCAATAATTTTCCAGGTCAAACACCAATATAAGTACATTGTTTGGCATATCTTTAGGTGTCCCCAAGCATTATTTACACATGTTTTTATATTCCTAGTTCGTTGTTTCCTCGGGAATGTCCTTCAGTTTAACTATTTTGAAAAGTTTAAATAACGAAAAACTTCCAATCGAAAACTCTGAATATAAAACTGAAGTCCTACTTCTTATAAAAATATTCCTTTCGATTTGGTAACAATCGTAACGATACTATAACAAAATA